CCCACTGCTGCTCAGAGACCAGCCTTTACCTTGTGGTTTACCAGAAATGTAGAGGAGCCTTTAAAATCGAAACAAAGCCAACCCACTCAGAGTTGGTCAGTGATCAGCATAGGTCAGTATGTTAAGCATTCCTTTCCCTCTATTAATTCACTTCTCTTCAAATGAAGACCTTAAAGTCTTTAAGACTAATTTAATAATTAACATTATCGATTTAAAAATAGACATGTCTCGGCATACCTTGGAGATATTGCAGGTTTGGTTTCAGACCACTGCAATAAAGCAAGTATTGCAATAAGTGAGTCATGATGTTTTCGCTGGTGGAGGGTCTTGCCTTCTATTTGTTAAAAAAAGGGGGGTGGGAAGGGCGACATCTGTGAGGTCTGCCTGTACTCTAAGCTTCTGAATGTTAGCTCAATGGTATGGTCTGTTTCTTAGTAGTGGAGCTGAAATTCAGCATTTCCAGTGCTGAAATCCCAGGCCTCATGAATTATTTCTACGTCCTGTATCCTGACGGTGTACAGATATATATATATATAAATAAAACAAACCATAAAATAAAACAAACCATGAGATAACAGGTTGGTTGGGCTAAGGTGGTCACCATGGGAAATAGTTAAAAATCAAAGGGTTAATTTTGAACTGACTTTCTTGGTTCCATGACATGAAATTCCTGATTTTCCTCATATCACCTGGCTTAATTCTCTATTCAACCTCTAAATGTTGGAGTCTTCCCATGGCTTTGTTCCAGGCTTCCTGCTGCTCTCAACCTCCCTCCCAATATATCTCCCCCTGCACCCTGGGCTCTAAATATCATTCAAGATTCTTATGACTGTTCCCAAGGCTAAATCTATGGTCCAAACCCACTGGGAACACTTGCTCGAACGTCTCAGACATTTCAAACTGCTTCTAGAAATATGCACTTGACATCTGGTGGTGAACACAGACCACTTCTGTCGATGCATTTCAATGACTATGCTATCCAGTGCAAAGCACCATTGGCTCCACTAAAAAAAAAAAAAAAAAAAAAAAAAAAAAAGGAAGTAAAAGCTTCATGTGGCCGGCACTGTTACTTCTCTATGGAAAGCCACAAGGCCTCAAAACTGGTAAAACATCTGCTGCTCAGAGACCAGCCTTTACCTTGTGGTTTACCAGAAATGTAGAGGAGCCTTTAAAATCGAAACAAAGCCAACCCACTCAGAGTTGGTCAGTGATCAGCATAGGTCAGTATGTTAAGCATTCCTTTCCCTCTATTAATTCACTTCTCTTCAAATGAAGACCTTAAAGTCTTTAAGACTAATTTAATAATTAACATTATCGATTTAAAAATAGACATGTCTCGGCATACCTTGGAGATATTGCGGGTTTGGTTTCAGACCACTGCAATAAAGCAAGTATTGCAATAAGTGAGTCATGATGTTTTCGCTGGTGGAGGGTCTTGCCTTCTATTTGTTAAAAAAAGGGGGGTGGGAAGGGCGACATCTGTGAGGTCTGCCTGTACTCTAAGCTTCTGAATGTTAGCTCACAGATATGGTCTGTTTCTTAGTAGTGGAGCTGAAATTCAGCATTTCCAGTGCTGAAATCCCAGGCCTCATGAATTATTTCTACGTCCCTTACCTTTTCCGTGCCTGACAGTGTACAGGTATTAGAACGCTAGGAGGCTGAGGGTGAAGGAGAAAGAAGACTGTGCTCACTTAAAAGGCAGTAACGTGGGCTGGGTCCCTGCCCAGTGAGTGCACAGCGGCCTGCTCGCAACGCTCCACAGACTTGCGGCCGGGCCACTCTCAGGAGCTTGGACTGAGGGGCTGGCGGGTGTTGGTTTCCACTTACCCTGCACGTGTTCCTTGGGAGCAGAAAGCAAGTCCTTTGCTAGTTCTGAATCCTCATAGCCAGATGAGATCCAAACATAAATATAAATTTATTTATGGCACGGAGATTATTCTTTGCTTTGTTTTAGAAACTGAGTTTGTGGCTGTGCTCCAGTTTCACATATGTTGACATTTAACATTGTATAAATTTAAGGTGTACATGTTAATTTGATACACAAATATTGTAATATGATGGCCATTGTAGTGAGAATTAGAACCCCTGTCATGCTACATAATTATGCTCCAGTTTTTAGACGAACTGCTGTAGTTTTCCATTACTGAGTTAAAATTTCATATCATCAGGAGTTACCTACTGTAAGTTCCTAGTAGAGAATATTTAATTCCTGGCTTTAAAAAAAGTGAGTTACCTGAACACAGTATTTACTGTTAACCTGTGTTTTAATAGGCTCTGTCTGGAAAGCTCTATTTCTTATTTTTGGTAGAATGCAAAGAACATGAGATTCAAACTCGGAAGTTCTGGGACCTAGTCTGCTCCTCTGTTCCATAAAGGAAATTTTGATATGACTGTTTATGGACACAGCCAGTTTTGAAATGGGAGATACTTAATAGGAATAAACATAATTGGGTCACAATGCAGTAACATTTCTCTTATGATAAAATTTTACGTTCTAAAGTCCCTGGTGCTATTGCCGAGCCTGCCCCACGTCAGTGCCTCCCGAGCCCCGTGCCCATGGCCTACCCAGATGCTGACCCTCTCCACCCTCGGGGTGGCAGGGTGGGTCTAGGCTAGCAGCTTCGCTGGTATGCGTCATGATATGAAACCGGCAGGGAAACACCACCCTATGCAACAAAGAAACAGCTAATACTGAGTAGTGCTAGGGCACGTCTTAAGGGTTACGTGCACTGACTTACTGAAACATCACAACCTTCAACGAGTCAATCAGGCACTACTACAATTTCCACTTTACAGAAGGAAAAACTAACCATACCATCAATCCAGGGTCAAGGTTGACATCTGTAAACAACTGGGAGCCTCAGGGATGGGTGAGGCCTAAGAATGGAGTCCAGGACAGGGTGCAGATCGCAGATGGTGCAATGGGCATCTGTTGCCTTTGTCTGCCTTTCAAGGTAAGTGTTCTCAAAAATCTATAAAAGTAAGTAAGGGCTAGAGTCTCATAACTTATTCGTGCCTCAATTTCTTCATCTTTTAAATTGGCAAAAAATGCCTGCCTTATCCATTTCAAAAAATTATTCTGAACATCAAACTGGATAGCAAAGAGTAGTAGGCTGGGGCTAAGTCCCTCACAGAGTAAGGTGCACTGATCGCCCTCATCTGCACCTGGAACTCCCAACATTCTTCTCAAGGGCTGGATCTGACCTGTGTCCGCAGCAGAGAAGAGAGGCAGGACGAGGGGACTGTGCCTCAGAAATGGCAAAAAAATAGCTCTGCATTAACTCCTGGCTGAGAGCTTTCACAATTAACTCCCACTGGTGAATTTTAACTAGTGCATCACAGTCAGAAATGCACACCAGGACTTCGAAAAGTGACTTCACTCCATCCTCTTACATAACTGTTTGGAAAACACTGTCGGTATTAAAATGATTCCCACTGTGAAAATGGCTCCTTCTGCTCTACCCTGTTTTCTGCACAAAATTTTATGTTAATAACTTACTGGTTCTCAGGGGACTGAAGAGCAGGCATATTTGCAAGTAAGCAATCCACAGTGCCCCCTCGCTCCCGGGTAGATATATAAAAGTGCAAGCGAAAAAAAGAGAACATTGATGCCAAGCAGATGAAGTGAAAGCCTTTCCAAACGCTTGTATCACACAGTGCCGTGTCCTTACTGACCAACGGCTCTTACTGACCAACCATTAGATGAGAACCTGTTGCGTTTCATCCATACAGTCTTGTTTGTTATAGATTCTTGTCACCGTATCTAAAACGTATGTCTTGCTGGAGGTATACTAATGATGCTGTGCTTTGAAAAGTATCATTTGGTTTTGGGTTTTAAATGTTTAACACATTAATGAAAGGGTGACTGAGGAAAGCACTACTTTTTCAATAAATAACACCCAGAACCAATTTGTCTGGGAGGAGACATGCCGGCAATCATGGTGGGCATTTCCAAGAGTCTCTGTATATTGCTCTCATTTCTGACTACTTTGTAAGTAACTTTGAGTTTACTAGCATTAGTCCAGGTTAACTACATAGTTACATTTGGATTTTCAACTGGACGGAAGATCGGTGCCCCTAATCCTTGAGTTGTTCAAGGGTCAACTATAGTTAACAGTTTCATTAAACTGGTTAAAGTTTTATAAAGGCAAACGGATAACTATTTAAAAGAATAAGCACATTTTTATTATGGTTCTCATCTCTCTTCTGGAGCAGATCTTTTTCTCTAGCTCACACTTCACCTACACTTTCTATTCAGAGTATCAGCTTTCACAGACTCAACACGGACAGTCACGTGTCCTAGACCACGGCCTCCTCGAGGCTCTTCGATACACTCTCCAAGAGTAATTGTTTGGACCAATAGGACAGAAGTGATGCTGGTGGACTTCTGAGGCTGGAGTGTAAGCAATACAGCTTTTGCTTGGCTCTGCCTCTGCAGACACACAGCGCTGAGCCACCATAATACAAAGGCTGGCTCTCCGGAAGCCACCAGCAGTGCTGGAGACCACACAGGGGTGGAGAGACGCCTAAAAGCTCCCGCTGTTCCAGCCCCCAGCTGCTGAGACTTCCTGGCTCGGGCTCCTGAGTGAAGGCGCTTTCAAGATGGCTCCAACCCCACCTACCATCTGACTGCAACCTCACAAAAGCCCCTCAACTCAGAACCACACAGCTGAGCCACTTCTAAATTCTCATCCCACAGAAATAGAGATAATAATGAGTATTATTGTTTTAAGTTGAGGTAATTATTTTATTGATTTTTTTTTTTTAAGGGAGAGAGAGAAACATCAACCAGATTCCTCCTGTATACACCCCAACTGGGGAATCGGCCCTACAACCTGGGCATGTGCCCTAACCGGAATGGAACCCACCACCCTTTGGTATGCGGGCCAGCACTCCAACCAACTGAGCCACACTGGACAGTTGAGGTAATTTTTACTGTTGGGCATAGTTTATTATGCAGTAAGAGGAAACCACTATGAAATTCATTATAAAAACTACTAAAAACTCTACATTGTTAGTCAGCTATTAATTAAATGAACCAGTGAATCAGCTTCCTATTAGACTTCTCCAATCTGCATGTCCTTTCACTGTCTATAACCTTACTCTGCTTTAACACATAGCTCTTATTACCATGTAACATGACGTTTTACATGACACTAAATGCATCAGGAAATGTGTTCACTTCTGCATCCCAGCCCCAAAAGCAGCACTTGATTAGCAATCAATCACTGGCTGGCTGAATGAATGAGTGAGTGAGTCTGGAGGTGAGCTCACCTGGTCTTCCCAAAGCACTATCTGATTTCCCCACCATCTGCCCTCCGTCTTGACTCAGTGTCTCCTGACATGTGTTCACTGCTAAGTTTCTGACTCTCTAATTACTACTTACAAAATTGTTTAACACCAACTTTCCTGTCCACTCAGACGTACAAATCCCACCAGAGAAACCACACCGTCCCACTCCATGATGCCAGTTTAGCACCCAGAGTGAAGCTGGTAATTAATTTTTTCAACACACCTGTGTACTAAACCCTTTCCAGGTGGTTTCAAATGTCAAATAAAATTACTCCATTTTTCATCCAAAGACCACATGCCTCATAGGAAAATGACCTCATGTCAGATGGTTTACATAGCAACTGAGCCCACTAGCAAAGGCCATGGAGCCATCCCATATATCTCTGTCTATATGATGATTTCATTGCGTCGGCTAAGTCCCTTCACTATGGCAGACCTAACAAAGCACTGCCACTGGGTGACTCTCAGAGCACGCTTCAGTGCATTTCAAGTCAAATGAGAGCTGGCTAGTTAAGCAGCAGCATCAACAGATGTAGGAATACCGCCAGCAAAATATCTCTGGCCAATTATGGCTGCCCAGCTACACCCAAATTAAAAATAACCCAATACTAACAACATCGCCCCCCCCCCCCCCGTGATAACGCCGTGGAGTCTCCCCGGAAATGTACTGTAAAGTGGTCATAAATAAGTCATTGAAAAGTTCACCTCCTTTAACAAGGTAGATCTCAGCAAAAAAAGAAAGAGGAAGAAACTGAAAAAAGAAATGTGGCCCATCTGTAAGTGACAAGCCAATAAAAGAATAGGAATCTTTAGTGAAGAAGCCTTCTGAAAAAATTGTAATTAAGAGTCTAAATTAGTGGCTGCCCAACAGAAACTGAATGTGAGCCAAACATGTACCTTTAATTTTCTAGCAGTCATATGTTTTAAAGATAAAACTTTAATAATACGAGTTTCTAATGTCCATTTTAACTTGATCTAAAATATTATCAATTCAGCATATAATCAATATAAAAGTTATTAAAGAGTAGTTTGCGTTCTTGTTTTCCTATATGTCTGTGAATTCAGCATGTGGTTTACACTCACAGCACCTCTCAGCTTGGACTGGCACACGTGGCTGGTGGTTACCAAGTCAGGTAGCACAGGTCTGGAATGATCCTTACTTCTGTTTTTATAAAACATTAAAACTTCCAAAGCACTAAAAGTTTTCCATTAGGGAGGTAAAATAAATACACTGTTAGAATTATGGACAATGATATCACATAGTCTTAAATGAAATAAAATCACAAAAGCCTGTTATTTTAAATTAAATAAAAGCTGTCCCCCAGAAGAACTCAGCCCCCCAGAAGTTAAGATCTGCCCACAAACGGGAAACTGAGGCCCTGACGGGCACCAGGGGCGCCCTTCCGCTCCCGCCATGCAAAGGGCTCCTGAACTTTGTTTCTCCTTCACCACAATCTGACAAGGGCCAGGGCTCCTCGTTTACCTTTGTTCACTTTAAAGGGTCTCCAAATGGGAGGGAAAATCAATCACTCGTTTGGGAAATGTCCGGGGATAGAGGGGAAGGGAGTGTATTTCAATTACAGAAGGCAACCTCGCTCCTAAGGCAGATCCCCGTCTAAAGGTGGTCATTGTTTTCCTTTTTATTACCATTCGGTCTCATGCTGTCCCCATGAAGAACAACTACCACAAGGGTCTCTCAAGGGAGAGTCCCCACATGGGGTGCTGGTAATGGGCCCCACCATGAGGCTGCTCTGCTGGCTTTTGTTTGGAACAATAGCATTCCCATGATACCTCACTCTTGCTGAAAATATTGGTATTAAGAGAGCATGAACACAGCTGTGTGTAAATTACACACAGAGATTAGATCTGTATATTTATAAGGAACACAAACATACTAATAGCACAGTTACATACACAGTTGGGTACACTGGGCTGCATGGAGAGTACGGTTTGAGTTCCAAAGTATTTCTTTAAAATTTTCTAGATTGAAATGCTTAACCTGCACAGTCAGGCTGAGGTTCTTCTGCCCCCCGCCCCCCCCGCCCCCAGATTCCTCTTCACTTTCATTTGCAATACGGGAGAAATTATTTGAAACTCTATGAAGGAGAAATCTCACAATAAAGAGCTTTAAAATTAACTTTTATAGTAAAAATAAATCAACATGGGATGATTTTCAGTTAAAAAGTAATAATTATAAATTGGGGGAGGAGGATAAGAGAAGGCAGTGTGGCAGAAGCAGAAAGTGGGAAGAATCTGAAAGTTCAGAATTAACTTGTCCTGCAATGACAGTGTTCGCGTCTCTACACAAATGCATTATGTACAGAGAGGACGACCTGTTCACACCGCACGGGGAAGGCAGGGTTCTTTGCATTTTTCCGCTAAATTTGAAAATAGAGAGAAGTGCACTCAGCATTATATATTCACTGCATTAAATCCAGATATAGACACGTGACCAGGAAACTGGGCTCTGTTCTCTGCCTGATTCTATCACGGCTTTCGATGACCCAGGCGAGACCTTAACATTCATTCCCTGGGCTGAGTTTCTCATGGAAAGATGGCATCCCAAGTACCCTAATTTACCAGATAAAGCACTAACTTTTAAATTGTTAAGTGTTTCAGGAAGGTAAAAGAAAAATAGTAATAATCCAACTAAGCATAAATGTGAATATATATATACACACATAATAAGCTCACTTATAGGCCTTAATTTTATTCTTTAAAAGCTTTAAAAAAACATGCTCCAACTGATACTCTTCATCTTTTATTTTTTCTTGGTGTGGTTTATATAAACTCCTGGTTTAAAATGAAAGAAAAGGTCCATTTCTGAGGCTTGGGTTTACCGTGCTTACAGTTCCACCAATAAATCATCTCCCAATCTGGGCTTGGAAAAGCACTGGCCACGGTTTGATTGCTCCAGCCCCAGGTTGCCAGGCAACCAACACAAGGGGGAAGTCTGAGAAGCGCTGACAGATAGCCAAGTGGCTGAAACAACAGACTTCTCTCTGTCAAAAATGTGTTTCAGAGAGCCACTTCCCCACCTCTGCTCTCTGCTAAACACTACACGATTGTAAAATCAAAATCAAAAGGCCACTGTAATAAAAACACTTCCTGCTCAATTACGAATTGTTAAAAAGCTGTGGGGAGGCCCAGATCACACAGTGTATGGCAACAGAAATGTGATACTGTAAATGAGATAAAGTCAGCAGCATGCGAGAAACCCGGTCTAAATGCAGCTCTGTAGCTTCGGGTCAGGGGACCTGGTGTGTGGAGCAAATCAGCTGCCTAAGAAAGCACCAGCAAGAAAATAACGAATGTTGAAACGTTGCAGAAACAAACCAAACAATAACCAAGAAGCCGCAGGTCCCCGTTACTTAATAATAAAACCAAGAACATGCTCAATCGTTGTGGAACAATCTGGAGATAATGAAAGTTTTCTCTCTCTGGGCTGATTTCTTGTGTAGAATAGGGCAAGGAAGATCAAGGACCCGCAGGAAGCACGCCCCCTGGCGGATGGGCAGGTGGGTGGGATTCCCTCATGCTTGACAGTCAGGGGATTACAGGAGACAGCAATGCCTTCCAGAGGATGCCTGGTAACAACAGCAGGTCTGAGGTCTGACATCTACTGCAACATCTGCAACACCTCCGGTGCCTGCTCCGAGCCAGTAACCGCCCCAGTCCTGCCGTGTCCCTGCTATGCAGCATCCTTCCACGAAACCCCTGCCCTGACTGCCACCCAGGACTCCGGAAACGCTTTGTGGTTATTTGGAAGAGGTCAGCACTAAGAACAAGTTCACCTTTTTTGTTTTTGGCAGCCTGGTAAAGCCTAACCTCTTACTAAAAATGGGTTTGAAATGCCTACAATAAAATGTATGGATTAAAAAGGAAACCAGTTGCCCTAACCGGTTTGGCTCAGTGGATAGAGCATTGGCCTGTGGACTGAAGGGTCCCAGGTTCGATTCCGGTCAAGGGCATTCCGGTCACCTTGGCTGCGAGCACATCCCCAGTGGGGGGTGTGCAGGAGGCAGCCGATGATGATCTCTCTCATCGATGTTTCTAACTCTCTATCCCTCTCCCTTCCTCTCTGTAAAAAAATAAAAAATAATTTTTTTTTTTAAAAAAGGAAACCAGTTATTTGAAAACAAGATACCAAAACATTAAAAAAAGGTGAGTATGCAGACCTTACGGACAGTAAGAAACCAAGATCTCTCAGAGGGTTTTGGTGCCTATGTATGTTTTTAGGGGGCGGTGTTGTTTTGTTTTGTTTTATAATAAGAGCTTTGGCATTATGACAAAATGGAGGGCCAGGACAGCAATTTATTCACCACTTAAGTTACCAAAGCAACGCACAGCCTGGCTCACTGCCCAAAGCTGACCAACTCGGAAGAGGTGCGCGAGGCTCCCAGGCTGGCCCTCTCCACGCCGCCAGCCCAGATCCCACGGCTCCT